GCGCCGCCACGCGCCGCCTGGGCTACTGCCCGCTGCGCGCGGGGCGCTGCCGAAGCCCGACCGGCCGCCGCCCGCTAGCCTTCCGCCGACGAAGACCGCGCTTCCTCTTCACAGGCCGCCCCGAAACCGAGCCACACGCCACGCGAACAACCGCTCGCCCGCGCGCCCGCTCGCAGAAAGAGCCGCGGCCGGGGGGCGGGACAGAAATAACTGGCGCCGACGCCGTCGCGCAAGCGCGCTGGGTGCCTTGCGCCCGGGGGCGGGGCCCGGGTCGGCCGCCTGAGGCGAGGCCGCGAGTACGCACGCGCCTGAGCCGGGTCTTCTTACCTCCGCCTACACTATCCCGGCGCCGCCTGCGCGGCGGGGGCGGGGCGATTGACATCACCGCCGCAACAGAGAACGCGGGCGGGGCGCGCGCACCTTTAACTAGATGGTGCTCCCCCTCTAGCTCTATCCCCTGGCCGCGAAACTGCGCAGGAGATTTGGCAGTCCAGGCCACCACCTCAATCCCCGCCCCTTAGGCCAGGCCGGAGAAGTCTCCAGTCGCTGCGTCCACAAGCGTTGGGGAAAGAGGCGGGGCCAAAAGCGAAGGGAGGCATTGGGTCCAGGGAGCGGGGCGGTGGGTCCCATGCCAGGAGGAAGTCCCCTTCTGAGCCAAGTGGCTGACTTTTGCGTTTTAACTGTTTTATTGTTTAACGTGACAAACACTGAAACCTGCCTAAAGCAAATAGATTCCAAGGGGCTACAGAGCAACGAGTCTTGTGAAATCCCGCCTGACCCCCCAAGCGTCCCCTTCGCATCTTTTAGCCAGCCGCTGCGCTGACTTGGATGCTTTTCCAGGTGGGAGAACTGAATGAACCTCAATAGTGGGAGAATTCTAAGGACGGAAGCACGGTCGGGGCGGGGGGACGGTGAATCCTGTCTGAGAAGAAAACAGAGTCTGTTCAGGGAGAATCCCACCTAAGGGAGGAAACAAGATTCATCGGGGAAGGAATCCTGCCTCAGTTGGGAGCAGGATCTGTGCGGGGGTGGGGGTGGAGGGGTGGAGGAGTCCTGTCTGAGAGAGGAAACAATGTCTGGGGGGAATTCTATCAGATGGAGAGAACAAGGCCTGGGGGCGGGGGTGGGGGGGCGGAATCCTGTTGGAGAGAAACACGGCCTTTCTGTGGATCCTGAGGAGGAAGCAAATTCTGTGGAGAATCCTGGAGCTAGGCAGGGTCTCCTGGGGAGAAAGAAGTCCTGTCCAAGCTGGGCCTATGGCGGAGGCAGAGAGCTCCAGTTTGATCCAGTTTGAGGTGGGAGCATAGTCTGGGAGGGGATCCTGTCTGAGGACATTACGCACGAAGAAAACTCGAGGGATGGATGCCTCCGAGATGGTCCTTGGGGTGGCCCTTGACCCCTTTTGCAGGGCTCCTTGGTGCTGAGATCTCTAGTTTCAGGACGAGGCTAAAGCGGGGGGGGGGGGGGGTTCAGCTTTTGAGAGGATGGAGAGAGCATGCCGGATGGCCGTGAGTCCGGCCCTAAGACCCTACTAGGCGTCACCGAGTTCAAATGCAAAAGCTGCGGGCCGAACCGGGCGCCCACGCGTGGTGGCGGTACAGGCAGGTCTGGCCCCACCGGGAGGGGTGTACCCTTTGTTCCCGGGGGGGTCGGGGGACCGCGGGGCTTTGTCTCTGTGCCTGCCTTTGTTCCAGCCTCGCCGCAGCCCCCAAATCCAGGCCCCGCCCCTCCCCCTTAGATGTATCCGCGGGCCACGCCCCACGATTGAGAGGCCCGCCCTCTCCATGCAGCTAACCCGAGGCCCTTGCCTCAGACTCTTACTTACTTAGATAACAGGGAAGGAAAGTTGACTAGCACGCTGGGTGAGGTGCGAATAGTGATACGTGCTGAGCATTTTCCATAACCCCACCCCTCACTGTGCCCCAAAATCACTGGGAGGGGGTGACTCATACCTACCCTAACCTCTGGGGCAGACACCAGTGTGTCAGGGCCAGTCAAAATATAAAGGTGATGGTAGGAGCGCCTGTGTGGTTCAGTTGGTTGTGTGTCCGACTTTGGCTCAGGTAATCATATCACAGTTTGTGAGTTCGAGCCCTGCACCGAGCTCCCTGCTGTCAGCACAAAGCCCCTTTGGATCTGTGTCCCTCTCTCTCTGCTCCCAACCCCCTATTGCTCTCTCTCTCTCCCCAAAATAAAAAACATTGAAAAAAGGAAAGTGATGGTAAAGAGTGTAGGAGTGGACTTTCCTAAGCGCTACCCCAAACACCTGCGGGAAGGACAATTCTGGGCAGAAACAAGTGCAGAGGTCCTGAGGCTGACCAGGCACTGAGAGATCAGTGAAGTCAGGAATGGTAGGAGATTTCTGGGGGATCCAAGAGGTTGCTGAACAGCTGCCTAGGGATAGGTTTAGATTGGGTCCTCTGGTATTGCCCTGCAATAGATTATGGCAACTGACCCTGTGCTTTCAGTGATTCCTGCTTTTCCCTCTAAACAGTACCTCCTTCCTCCTGGGCCTAGTACTTTCCTTCCCAATACATGGCAGCCACACAATCAGAGTATAACCACCATATCAGGTACTGGGCCACTGCCAGCTCCATTGTCCAAATGCATAAACCAAGTCTTCTGTAAGTGCTGGGACCATACTGGGGGAGGGGGAATCAACAGGAAACTAGGCTCAGACAGACTGAGAGAAGCACCAGGGGACACCCCAGGCCAAGACAGAACCTTTGCTCAGAAGTCCAGAAGTACATGGCATGACATGGGTACATCTTGGCTCCATACCCCTCAATAGGCCAGATCAAGTAGTCAGTGGCACCTTATACTCTCATCCTCTGTGCTTGTTCACCCTTTATAGCATTTCACACTTCCCAGTCCTGGACCACTGGAAACTGTCTATATTCTGGCCTTGCAGCCAGAGCTCAAGGGATAAAACAATGCGTAAGAGTCACTCAGACTGCACCCATGCCAGACATGGCCTGCCCACTGCTTCTTTGGGGCACCTACTTGCAGACAGCCACTCTCTGTCTTACCCAAATTCCACACCTACACCTGGCTTGCCCTGTAAACTTCAGGTGTCACTGCCAAAGCCACTTCCTGGGGAGGTCTTCTGGCTGCATCATTCCAATCTCTTTCTCCATCTTACAGATCTCATCTGGGAACTAGGTAGTTGTGACAGTTGTACAACATCATGAATGTACTTAATGCCACTGGAATTCCTTTCTTTTCTTTTTTTGAAAGAAACAAAACATGTGAAAGTGTGAGCAGGGGACATGGGCAGAGGGAAAGAGAGAGAATCTTAAGCAGGCTTCACACCCAACACGGAGCCTGACGCAGGGCTCGATACCACGATCCTGGGATCATGTCCAGAGCTGAAATCAAGAGTCCAACGCTCAACCGACTGAGTCACCCAGGTGCCCCTGAATTGTATACTTTAAAATACAATTGTATACATAAAGTACAGCACCTGGGTGGCTCTGTTGGTTGAGCGTCCGACTCTTGATACCAGCCCATGGTCATGGGATCAAGCCCCACATCAGGCTCCACACTGACAGCGCAGAGCCTGCTTAGGGTTCTCTCTTTCCTCTCTCTGCCCCTCCCCCTGCTCACTTGTGCACTCGCGCGCTCTCTCTCTCTCTCTCTCTCACAAAATAAATAAACTTTTTTTAAAATAAATAAATGAATAATAAAATGCAATTGAACCTTGGGACACCTGGCTGGCTGTCCATAGAGCATGCTATTCTTTATCTTGGGATTGTGAGTTCAAGCCCCACATTGGATGTAGAAATTACTTAAAAATAAAATCTTAAAGGGGAGCCTGGGTGGCTCAGTCTATTGGGCATCCGACTTCGGCTCAGGACATGATCTCAATCTGTGGGTTCTAACCCCACATCAGACTCTGTGCTGACAGCTCAGAGCCTAGAACCTGCTTCAGATTCTGTGTCTCCCTCTCTCTCTCTCTCTCTGCCCCTCCCCTGCTTGTGCTCTCTCTCTCTCTCTCTCTCAAAAATGGACAAATATTTTTTTAAAAATTTTAACAAGAAAAAATACAGTTACAGTACTATACTGTATTTATAAAAAAAAAATTCACATGTAAATGGGCCTACCCACACAGTATTTTACCACACAGATAAAAATCATTTTTGGGCACACCTGTGTAGTTCAGTCAGTCAAGTGTCCGACTTTGGCTCAGGTCAAGATCTCACGGTTCGTGGGTTCAAACCCCTCATCGGGCTCTGTGCTGACAGCTCAGAGCCTGAAACCTGCTTCAGATTCTGTGTCTCCCTCTCTCCGCCCCTCCTCCACTCATGCTCTGTCTCTCTCTCTCTCCTTCAAAAATAAACATTAAAAAAAACTTTTTTTAATAATTTTTTGGTGAGAACCCTAGACTGTCCCTGCTGATCTCCAACCTCACCACTTGACCCCAGCCACACTAGCCAACCTGTTGTTCCCATCTCAGTGTCTTTGCAGGTTCTGTTTATTCTGCCTAGAATATTCCTCCATACCTCTTTCTCACTGATTCCTTCTCTCCCTTCACATTTCAACTAGAGCAAATCAAACTGCTGCATCTACCATGCTGAACCCAGGGCCTGCCCCATAGTAGACACTCAGTAAATGTGTAAAAGAACAAAAAAAAAAAAAAAAAAAAGGACAAATTAATGCATGAAGATGATGACTGTCTTGACCCTGCCAGTTTTGTGAGCTACAAGATGAGGTTAGGGTTTACTGTTTGTTTTTGTTTTTTTTTTTATTTTAAGTAGGCTCTATGCCCTATGTGAGGCTTGAACTCATGACACCAACATCAAGAGTCACATGCTCTACTGACTGAGCCAGTCGGTCACCCCTGGGCTATCTTACTTTTTAATCTTTTTTTTTTAATTGAGTTACAATTCACATAACATCAAATTTATCATTTTAGCTTCTTTTTTTTTAATGCTTATTCACTTTTGAGAGAGAGAGACAGACAGAATGTAATCAGGGGAGGGGCAGAGAGGGAGACACAGAATCCCAAGCAGGCTCCAGGCTCTCAGATGACAGCACAGGGCCCGATGCCAGGCTCAAACCCACAGACTGCAAGATCATGACCTGAGCCCAAGTCAGATGCTTAACCGACTGAGCCACGCGGGTGCCCCTCATTTTAGCTATTTTAAAGTATACATTCGATGGCATTTCATACATTCACAATGTTGTACAATCACTACTTCTATCTAGTTCTAAAATATGTTCATCACTTCAAAAGAAAACCTTGTATCCATCAGCACTCACTCCCCATTCCCTCTCCCATCAGACCCTAGCAACCACTAATCCACTGTCTCTATGAACTCTTTAATCTTTTGATAAAGCCTTATAATATGGAGAGAAAAGCTTTATTTATTTTTGAGAGTGCAGCAGGGGAGGGACAGAGAGAGAGAGAGAGACAGAGGATCTGAGCTCTTCAGCGCAGAGCCCAATGTGGGGCTCAAACTCACAAACCATGAGATCATGACCTGAGCTGAAGTTTACCTAATGGACTGAGCCACCCAGGCACCCCATGGTGAGCATTTCATCACGTATATAATTGTTGAATCACTATGTTGTATACCTGAAACAAATATAATATTGTATGCCAATGACACAAGTAATTTTTTTTAATGTTTATTTATTTTCGAGAGAGAGAGAGACAGAGCACAAGTGGGGGAGGGGCAGAGAGAGAAGGAGACACAGAATCGGAAGCAGGCTCTGAGCTTTCAGCACAGAACCTGACATGGGGCTAGAACTCACTAACCATGAGATCATGACCTGAGCTGAAGTCAGACGCTTAACCAACTGAGCCCCCCAGGCCCAATTTTAAATGAGGGGTAACTGGGTAGCTCAGTTGGTAGAGCATGCAACTCTTGATCTCAGGGTTGTAAGTTCAAGCCCCATATTGGGAATGGAGCCTATTAAAAAAAAAAAAATTTTTTTTTAATGTTTTTAAATGAGACACTAGAGAGATTGCTGTGGTGACAAAGAAGAGCTTATGTGAGCACACAGTGATACAGCAGCCTCCTACCAGCCAAGAGAAGAAGCCTAAGAATGACATCTACTTTGCCAGCACCTTTATCTTGGACTTCCCAGCCTCCAGAACTGTGAGAAGTAAGTTTGGGTTGTTTAAGCCACCCAGCTATGGTACTTTGTAATGGTAGCTTGAGCAAACTGATTGTCAAATTTCCCTCTGCCTCACTCTGATAAGGATGCGTGTGATTTTACATTAACAGCCCACCCGAATACCTCAGGATAATTTCCCCATTTCAAGATCTTTAATTACAATTGCAAAGATTCCATGGCAACGGATGCAGCAGATCCAGAACCACGACTTCCGCCCAAAGTGGAGGAGCAGGACGTCAGCGAGCTGCCGGTGTCCTGCGCTGGGGAGAGCCGATGAAGCTCCCCCGGCCGCCTGGATTTAACGTGTAGGTGCCGCTCCTGGAGCTGTTAACTTCGAGTCTAGCTTGAAATATGGGATTTGGGGGGACCGTTTAACTTAATTACCACTAGTTTTGAAAGGTCTTTGTGAGTAGGGTTGGCACGGATGCACCAATACGGAAGGAGAGGGGTCACTTATCTGTGTTCCTATGGAAACTATTTGAATATTTGTTTTATATGGATTTTTATTCACTTCACTAAAGAATGACCCTCAGCTGCTGGGCAAGCGTTTGTAGCTTGTGCGTCAGCAGAATGGGCGAAAGCTTAGTGCTGTGACTTGTTTTAAAAATAAAGTATCTTGGGGGCACCTGAGTGACTCAGTCGGTTAAGCGTCCAACTATGGCTCAGGTCATGATCTCACGGTTTGTGGGTTTGAGCCCCACATGAGGCTCTGTGCTGACAGCTCAGAGCCTGGAGCCTGCTTTGGATTCTCTGCCTCCCTTTCTCGCTTCCCCCGCCCCCCCCCCCGCCGTCTCTCGCTCTCAAAAATAAACATTAAATTTTTTTTTAATAATAAATAATAATAAATAAAAATAAAGTATCTTGAAATAATTGGGGGAAAAAACACAACAATTGCAAAGATTCCTTTTCTTAATATATAACACTTCAAGGGGCCAGGGATTAGGATGTATGTATTTTTAGGGACCATTTTTCTGCCTCTTGCAGTCCACATTTCACAGATGGGAAAACCAATCTTCAGAGAATAGGAGTTGTCCATAGCCCCACGGGCTGCAGGAGTCCAACCCACTTTGGTCTCAGGGTGCCCTCACCCTTTCCATCTGCTTCCTTCCCAAGGGAATCTGCGACTCCCAAGCAGGGCACGGAGGGAAAGGACAGGAGACTTCCACAACCCAGAATTTCATCCCTTTTCCTGCAGAAAGGAACCAGGGCTCCTGGGAGAAATGATTGATTCCAAAACTAAACAGAGAAAGTCCCAGGTGAGCCTGCAACATCTTGTTATGCCACAAAATAAACACCCAAAGAATAACAGGAATATATTAAGAGGACACAGAAACCAAACCTGATGTCACAACTCAAGTATCAGAAAAATACTGATGGTCTTTGGCTGACATACAATGAATCCACCCTACACGAGTCCTTAAGTGTTCTCAAAAAGGAGAGAGCCAGGAAAGTAAGCCCATCTGTCACCATATGATATCACTTTTGACTGGCCCCTTGCTCTGGGAAATCAACACTGATCCTGCCTTTCCAAGGGGAACTGTATGTGATGGTAACACGTGGCCCCATTTCTTGCTTAGATAATTAAATTCTGGAATTCATAAAATATCATTTTCCAACCCATTGTGAGATTCCTGAGCAGGTCAAGATTATCAATTGTATACAATATGAGGTGACTAGAGGGTGTGGTATGAATATGATCATCTGGGAGGGGACACATGAGTGGAAGTAGACAGTCAGGCTGTCACTACCCCCACATTAGGGTCAGAAACACTAAGATTCTTCATGAGATGCAATGGGACCCATCCAACATGCTCTGACAGGTTGTAGCCAGTAATGTTTGGCCTGAAACCCAAATCTCTAGATCTAGTTTCTCATCTATGAAATACTGGAAGAAGGGAGAGAAGTAGCCAGTGGGCCCATCCAGAAGCAAGAGATGTCATACCAGAAACTGAGGTCCACTGTCCTCTATTTGTTTTCACAGAGGGAGCTGTAAATCTCTAGCCAGACACCAGATCAATGGCTTCCAGGGTGGAACAGAAATGGATGCAGACTGTACAAAGGAAGTTTTAAGGTGAAGGATAACGTTCTAAACCTGACTGTGGTGGTGTGCCTGGCTGGCTCACTTGGTGGAGAATGTGACTCTTGATCTCAGGGTTCTGAGTTCACGCTGCACGGTGGGTGTACAGATTACTTAAAAAGAAAAAACTTGGAGTGCTTGAGTGGCTCAGTTCGTTGGGCGTCTGGCTCTTGGTTTTAGGTAGGTTCATGATTTTACAGTTTGTGAGTTTGAGCCCCTCATCGGGCTCTATACTGACAGTGCAGAGCCTGCTTGAGGTTCTCTCTCTCTCCCTCTCTCTCTCTCTCTCTGCCCTTTTCCTCCTCTCTCTCTTTCAACGTTTATTTATTTTTGGGACAGAGAGAGACAGAGCATGAACGGGGGAGGGGCAGAGAGAGAGGGAGACACAGAATCGGAAACAGGCTCCAGGCTCTGAGCCATCAGCCCAGAGCCCGACGCGGGGCTCGAACTCACGGACCGCGAGATCGTGACCCGGCTGAAGTCGGACGCTCAACCGACTGCGCCACCCAGGTGCCCCGTCCTCTCTCTCTTTCAAAATAAATAAATTATATAAATAAATAAGCAAATAAATATAAATAAATAAATAAATAAATAAATAAATAAATAAATAACTTTGGTGTGGGGCACCTGGGTGGCTCAGTTGGTTAAGCATTGAACTCTTGATTTTGGCTCAGGTCATGATCTCACTGTTCGTGGGATCAAGCCTTACATCAAGCTCTGTGTTGGCAGCACAGAGCCTGCTTGAGATTGTCTCTCCCTCTCTCTGTGCCCCTCCCCTGCTTGTGCATGCAGGCACACACTCTCTCTCTCAAAATAAATAAATATAAAATATTTTTTAAAAAACTTTTTAAATAAAAATAAATTAAACTGGATTGTGGTGATAGCTGCACCATGATGAATATTAATTTTCTCAGAAGCTTTGAAGGCTACCTGCAATGGGTGTATTTTATGGCATATAAACTATACTTTATGGGCATCTGGCTGGCTCAGTCAGAAAAGCATCCAACTCTTGATCTTAGGGTTGTGAGTTCAAGCCCCACATTGGGTGTAGAGATTACTGAAAAAAAAATTAATTAATTAATAAAAAAAATAGTTTAAACTAGGTGCGCCTGGGTGGGTCAGTCGGTTAAGCATCTGACTTTGCCTTGGGTCATGATCTCACGGTTTGTGAGTTTGAGCCCCATGTCCGGGCTCTGTGCTGACAAACGGCTCAGAGCCTAGAGCCTGCTTCAGATTCTGTCTCTCTCTCTCTCTCTCTGCCTCTCCCCTGCTGGTGCTCTGTCTCTTTCTCTCTCTCAAAAATAAATAAACATTAAAAAATTATTAAAAAATAGTTTAAACTATACATTAATACAACTTTCATACAAATGGCATGGACAATAATAACATGAAAAGAAATTCTACATTATTCGTCATAAGGGAAGTGCAAATTGAACCAGTTCACATCCACTTAAAAAAAAAGAGAGAGAGGGGTGCCTGGGTGGCTCAGTCTGGTAAGCATCTGACTTTGGCTCAGGTCAAGATTTCATGGTTTGTGAGTTCAAGCCCCGCATCGGGCTCTGTGCTGACAGCTCAGAGGCTGGAGCCTGCTTTGGATTCTCTGCCTCCTTCTCTCTCTGCCCTTCCCCAACTTGTGCTCTCTCTCTCTGTCTCTCAAAATTAATGTAAAAAAAAATTTTTTTTTAAAGGACAATAGCAAGTGATGGAAGGGATATGGAGGACTTGGAATACTCCTTTATTGCTGGTGGGAATGTAAAATGGTGCACTACCTATAAAAAAAAAAAGTTTGGCTATGCCTCAAACAGTTAAACATAGATTTACCATATGATCCAGCAATTAACTTATAGGTATATACCTCCCCAAATTGAAAACATGTTCAAACATGTTCAAACATGTTCCTTGTACAGGAATTTATAGCAGCACTACATAGCCAAAGGTATAAACAACTCAATGTCCATCAAACGATGGCTGGAAAAATGGATAAATAGATGTATTTCCATACAATGGAGTCTAATTCAGCCATAAAAAGAAATGACTTGATACGTACTACAACATAGATGAACCTTGAAAAGATCACACCAATTAAAAGAAATCAGACATGGGGCGCCTGGGTGGCTCAGTCGGTTGAGCCTCCGACTTCAGCTCAGCTCAGGACATGATCTCACGGTTTGTGGGTTTGAGCCCCACATGAGGCTCTGTGCTGACAGCTCAGAGCCTGGAGCCTGCTTCAGATTCTGTGTCTCCTTCTCTCTCTGACCCGCCCCTGTTCATGCTCTGTCTGTCCCAAAAATAAATAAAAGAAGAAAAGAAAAGAAAAGAAAAGAAAAGAAAAGAAAAGAAAAGAAAAGAAA